CTAGTTAGTAGAAAAAATTTGAAAAGAGACCTCACTCCAGCTCGTAACCGCTCCTATCCACGTCCCCCTTTTCACTTACGGCTCCGTGAGTTCAAGTGCTTCTCGGGGTTAAAAGAGTGAAACGCTTTTGAAAAAGGCACTGTGTCTTTGGACGGCAATTTCAGGTCAGCCAACACTGCTAACCCTTCATTGATATATAATCTTGCCGTTTTAACGGCCTGCCAACGGCCGGCAACCATCAACTTGTCTAAAGAACCGTGGCGGGAGAACCACCACGTGGCTCCTCCTCTTCTAAGAGAGTACGGTCGAAACTGGAACGAGTCGAGGTTTAAAGCCGTTAAACATTTTGCAAACATGGTTCGCCATGCCGAAGAACTGGTACAGAGTTTGGCGTGAGGGGGATGAACTTGTTTCCAGTGCCAAACCAAACCCACCGAAGGACCACTTGAGGTGAAAGTGTGCAGCTTTCAGCCACACCTTGACGTTTTCCACCTTTGGTATACCCTAGGGAAATGACCGCAGGGGACCGTACTGACGTCATAAAAATGTCAGCATTGGTCAAATTCAGCAACTCACCTGTGCGCAGCATGCCGTAAAAGGCTATCAATAATGAGACGCCGAACGAATAATGCTGATGAAAGAAGGCCCATCCAGTCATCGCCAGAACGGCCTGCTCTGGAAGGTGGGGCACGGTTTGGGATTTCATTTATCCCCCATGTCTTCAGCAACCGCCACGAAGCCTGCAGATGCCCCTTAACCTTTGGGTCAATGTCTTGCAACCCTGCAATAGTATCGGCTCCCAGAGCCCTACCCTCTCCGCTTGACCAGAGATGTTCTATATATTCAGCAAGTAGGCCATCCAAAAGCTCTCTTTTGCGGGGTAGTTTAAGGTCATTCTCACGCAAGAAGGCATAGAATTTTTCGCGTGCTTTTTCATACCTGACACGGGTTTTGGAAGAGACCGTGAGTGACTTGAGACTGCCTAGTTTCTGCCTATCTTTCTGCCGCTGCTCCTTGCTGGGGGCCTCCAATAACCGACCCTTCACTTTCCCCATCGTCGACGAAGTGGACGCCGACTCGGGCGGTCGGCGGGGTTCTGGGATGTGTGCACATACCCCCACAGGGGGTGGAGGTCCGCCGCAAGGAGATAGGAATTCACTCGCATCAATGTAGACCGAAGTTTCTTGCTCGAACTTCTGCCTCGAGTGAGGGCATGTAAGCAGACTAGGCTGTCCGTAAGGTGCAGGAAACGAACTCGAGCACGACCTTGGCGTTGTACTTTCCATTTGACTGAGGTCAGTATTGCCCGAAGTTCCAGGAGGTTTATGTGATCTCCCGATTGTCTCCATTTCCACCCACTAATTTCTTCCCACTTCCACAGACGACTTGGGACACTTGCACGCAACCGGCTGTATCGCGGTGCGGGATCGGATTGCGCTTGCACCAAGAGATCCTCACCTTTTTGGGACGCCAGCCCTAAGAACTTCTTCACAAGTGCCTTCTGGTCGTCCTCCTCACACGCCACCAAACGGCCATGAAGCGGAGGTCGAGTCAACACCTGAAAAACATTGCTCCCCTGCCCTGGGACAAAGGCTTCTACAAGAGCCTGCAAGGAACGCGGCGACGTAAGCCCAAGCTGGACTCCTAGCTGCTCGACTAACCAGGTGACAACCACAACGTGCCAAGAATTGCCTATCAACGTGAGCCTGGAGTCCTCAAAATCCTGCCCCTTCTGCTGAGCCTTTGGCACGCAATGCCGAGTGTAATCATGAGGAAATCCCATGATAACCTCACGCTCGCTGCTATCCGGTCGTCTCCAAGTCCCCCGCTTGTGCCAGAGGCCATGGCCGTCCTTATATTGATATGGTGGAAACCTATACTCATCTTGTTCCCACCGGCTGATCTCATGCGCCTTGCAATCTGCTAGCCCCGCGGGACGTCTTCCAGGGCTTTTCCGAGGCCTCGAAGTGGTGAAAGTAGGTAGGCGCTGCCCCTTGGGAAGATGCCACCCCTGGTGTAAAAAAGGTTGAGCGTCCACGTCCGCCTGCAGAACCACCTTGCCACAAGCTTGCCATCCCTGCCCTTCACGAGGCCTGATTTCAACCCCAGGCCCAGGCCACAACTGCCAGGAGACCCAGTACAAACGCGGCCTCCCGCACAACGAAACCCCAGATGCATCAATGCGGTAGGGCAGCTTCTGAAAGGCCTCACTCATCACTGACCGATCCTCCAGCCCCATGCTGGCGACGTTTTCAACCAGCTCATGCACCTGAGCCCAAGGAAAACACTGCTTGAAATCTTCGACAATGCGAGGCACGTGACTGAACAAAGAACTCCGAGGATCCCTCAAGGCTCCCTTGCGGTCTGCGTTGAGTCCACTGACGCCCTGGCAGGGCGGTCCCGCCCCGACCAGGACTAACCCCACGTTGCTAAATTTCAATGCCAAGGCCTCAACATCTTGCCGGCTGAAGGTCACAATGTCCTCGAAAAAGATCGTCTCCGGAAAGTGACTCTCCACAACCCTCTGAGCTTTTCTGTCGCGTTCAATGCTGACGTGCCCTGCCATAGGCCCAGGCAAACCCGCCATGTCGCAGGCAACACGCAGGGCACCAATACCATCAAACAACCCTACGCTCAAGACTTGAATGAGATCCTCCTCTTCTGCAACATCTCCCCTTGCCTGCGAATTTAGGGCACTAACCCCATACTCTGTCAAGGAAACAGAAGCGCAAAGACCTCCCCCTTCGCAGGACGCATCAGAGCAGGTGACCTGTCCATCCACCGGGACTCGAAATCCATCTGTGCCAAAGGCGACAACAAAATGAAACGCGCCAATTCCACCTTCACCCCTTTGGGTAGTTTCAGCCGCACGACGGGTGCCTCGCCCTCAAACGCCCTCATGTGCTCAAAAACCTCCTTCAACCCACACAGAAGAGCTCGACGAAACATGCACAAATAGACAAAGCCACCACACACCACTTGGAGTTCGCGAAGTGTGGACTGCCCACGCCTAATGAGCTCGAACGCCAGTTTGTTGTACACGACCACTTTCTCTGGCTTTGGAGCCGTGAACCCCTCAAGGCCGTCAAAGCGTGACCCTTGAAGTTCTCCAACGAACACACGCTCCGCGGCTTTCTTAGGGTGGCGGGGTAGCCCCATCTCTTCATAGTGGGAGCGTAATGCTTCAGCTTGGGGAGACACCGTTCCCGAGACCCGTTCAGCTAAGGACACATCCACTCGCTCCAAAAGGTCAAAGTTGTCCAGGTAAATTCTGTACAGTGTGTCGGCGTTCAACATGGGCTTATCTTTGCGAATCTCACTGCTGTGGGGAGTG